TACATGTACCTGGCCGATTAATGTTTATTACATGGTATCAACACCGGCGGTATCAATCGCCTTAGGGCAGAAAATCAGTGCATGTTATTTGGGTATATGTATCAGCGTTTCACATCATTGAACATGCTGGTCAACAATGACCCTAATTTCAATCTACCGGTATATAATGCAAAAATCAAATTGAAAAATAAAATGTGTATGAATTTCTTTCAGCATTAATCAATTTTGAACATAATCTGATAGTTCCATCCTGGTGATTTAGAGATGTACATTCTAACATTTACAAATAAAACACTTAAAACCGAGTATTATTATAAAGATAGAGAAATTAACAATAATTAAATTGACATGTCAGTAAAAAAATTATGACTAGAAAATAATACTTGGCAAAATTAACAAAGAATTTTCTAAAAGCTAAATTCCTTTTGAGTATCCCGATAGTATGGAAATTGGCCATATGATGATGAGATCTATTTAAAGCTAATTCTTACAGGGGGGAATAATTAATTCACAATATATACATTTGTGGTATCTCTCCATTATATAAACATACAGAGAGAAAATATCTTCAATTCTGTATGAAGTTTGTCAGAGGTCAGAGGTCAATACGTGACCTAATCACACGGCGCAATAATATCTACCGGTAAAAAATTATAAAATGACCTGCTCCACTTGCTTTTCATGTATAAAAATGAATAAAATAAGCAAGTAAAATGATAATTATTTTATTTACAATACAAACTAGTATTTCATACAGTTTGTTGGCTATCGATTCAACCTGTGTACATAGAAAAAACTAGCGTTTGCTTACATTTTTTTCACTTTTGTCAGCTGCACAGTCTTTAACGTTCATCCTTATTTTTGGGGTAGACCTTTCGTTAAATTTTCTCGATAAACTATTATTTTATCTTTAAATTCTACTCACGATAAATGTGTAAAACTGTTGGAAAATATCACTGCAATCATGCCATGATCAGCTGCCAAACACCTCGGCGTTTTCGTAGTTCAATGTAAAGCTGTCGCCAGTGTCCATGTTTACAAATGCTTTACGATAAGTATGTCTATAGTTACTGAAATCGTGGAATGTTTTGGATCAAATTGCAAATTAACTGGCTCGGACAAGTGTCTCAATCCATCGGATCCATCCATCCCTTTCCGGCGACCGAAATTCCTCCAACTTTTTATAATCAAACTTCGGACGTGTTTCTTGTGTCTTTTCAGCATCGATTATCAATTTTCACGAATAATAATATTCCCAAACAACAATCTGTTCACTATTACTGATCACAAGTAGCCATTCACAAAATATTCCCTTCGAAATAGATTCCTTAGCCTAATGAATTCGAAGCGTAACCGCCATGCAAGCCGATTTACACCTTGCGCCATTTTTCAAAATCTACGACGGACGGTTAGTGCAATAATTTAAATTCGAAAATATTCAATTTTCTGTCTCAAATGTATATATAAGTAATAAATAACAAGTTTATAAACTTCAATGGGAATTGAAGTGGGTGGTACGTGATCAAATCTTCTGAGAAGGCCTTCGGCCTTCACAGGATTTGATCACGTGACCGACCCACTTCAATTCCCATTGAAGTTTATAAACTTGTTATTTATTTCTTTATTAAATTTTCTGTATAAAAAATAAATGGGAAACCATATAAATCACAGAAAATAAAGAAATTAAATTATTAATTTAATATACCCGATAATTGTGATTAAATGTTTATATATGTTCAGTTTAATTCATACATGTACAGTACGTGTGAAAGCCCTCTTCCTTCAATAAATAATCATTCAATTTGTTTCTATGCGCGTACTGTTCATAAATGACCTCCGCGTACATGTAAGGATTCCTGGCATAATACCCAGAATCAATTTCTACTGCCTTTTATAGTTCCATTGTTTATTGCAAATCTCATTTCTGAGTTAGCTCCGCCCATTAAATTAATAAACCCCGCCCACTGGGACTGCTTTCTGGGACTGCTGGGACTGCTCTCTGGGACCGCTGGGACTGCTGGGACCGCTCTGGGACTGCTGTGGGACTGCTCTGGGACCGCTGTGGGACTGCTCTGGGACTGCTGTGGGACTGATTTAGCAGTCCCAGAAAGCAGTCCCCGGGATTGCTCTGGGACTGCTTTGTGTCAGGTTGGGTCTGGTCGGTACTGTATATCGTAACAGTTAATGGCTCCTTATTTACTATTACATTGTTTGTATTTAGAACGAGTATTCCAGGCTAATGTTAATATAATCGACGGCAAAAGCTGGTAAATGACAGTGTGTATGTGTTTTTTTAAATATATTAAGAAGTTAGTGAAATGCCATTGTTCAGTATTGCATTGTTCAAATGTATTTATTACTTTTCTGGAAAATATCAAGTGGCATGAAATATATGGAGATAACGAACAGTATTCAAGCTCAAAAGTCCATTAAACAATACAAAATAGGAGCAGAGCAGTTACGGACCTCAGAAACATCAGGGGTGGGATCATGTGCCATGAAGAAGTTCTGTCGATCGGTGACACCCCGTGGGCCCCTTGTCATTATCGGGAGATAACGGGTAAATCTGTCTTCAATTAAGTGTACATGTATAGACTAACAATAAATATGAATGAAAAATTTCTTCTCATGTATTTGAATATACTGTGCTTCTTGAGAAAGTAAAAACAGGTCAGGAAAAAAGCACAATAAGTTATCCATGACAATTCATACCGATATATGAATTGAAATCGGAAAGAGAATTTCAAACAAAATTCTAAAGTTTTAAAAATTTTAAAACATTGAAACTTAAAACTTCTTCGAATAAAAAAAAAATTCAACGTATATTTCAGATATAGAAAAATGAAAGCTATCACCACTGACAGAAATTTAAGAGTGCAGTTTCACAATGAGTATTCTGAAATGAGTAAACCTAATAACACAACAGAAATGGGAGGTAGGTATGATGCATCCGGCAAAGAAGACGAAGACAAAGAACTGCCTTATGTAGATTCAAACATGGATGTTTATGATCACCTTGGAGAGAAACGTACGAGGAATATTAAAGAATCAGACAATGTGTACATCGAACCCGACTTGTGTGAGACTGGATACGGTACATGTAACCTCCCTTACACACCCTCAGACGACATGTATGATCATACAAAGGCCAACAAAATAGAGGATTCAGAGTATGACTCCTGTACTAGGTAGTTTAAAAAAATCGGAAGCCAAATTTAATCCGCAATCCGAGGAGCAGAATCAAAATGTTAATTTACATATAAATTATCACCAACAAGGAGTTTTCAATAAATGTAAACAAAAAAAAAAAAAAAAAACTTCTTTCAAATTTTTGAATTTTGACACACTGATTCACTTTGATTTATCAACATTGAATTTTATTTTAATTAAAAAGAAAACTCGCTGTATTGTGTCTTTTGTTAGATGTCTTTTGAGTTGATAATTCAGAAATATAAAAAATATTGTTTAATGTTCTTTTCAAGAAGAGTACTTATATAATTTTACAAGTTGAATGAAATGATAATTTCACAAATCTTGTTTGAAGTCATCATTTCGCAAATATACAATTTCTCTCTTAACAAACGCAATGTCATCAGGTCAAATGCTAGGCCATATACTTTTACACACTAGGATTTCTACGGAATTTCCCGCCTATCCCATCATGAGAAGGAGAACCTTACTATTGTGGTTTGTCGACAGGGAATGGTCATTCCTTCATGGCACCTCATCCCGCCTCTGCTATTTCAGAGGTAATGTTTGCCCTTTTACTGATCTGTACATATTGTTGAAATGTATTTTAAGCTTCATTACCATCTCCGCATTTTATTGCTCCTTTCTCTTAGTTGGTATGTCGCTGTGAGAGTAAATCTCTCTTCCTAGTAGTTCAAAATTAGTATAATAAAAGATTTCAAACATTTATGGATGAAGATGGTTCTCGACTCATTTTTGAGTCCTGCAGAACAAAGCAACAATATAGGAGCACTCTATCTTGCGACTATCTGCCTGTCCTTCTGCTATACAATATGTACCTTACATCTTGAGAACTGTATGAGGAATGAATTTGAAATTTGAGCAACAGATTGCTAGGAACTAGAGTGGCACTATGGTTCATGTCAAATATCATGGGTTCCGACCTTAGATTTGACCTTTTAGGTACATTTTAAAACTGCAGACAACTGCAAAAAATTAAATTAATTTTTAATTTAACTTGTAATATAACCTATCATTGTATTAAAATCATAACTGAATTCTACATGCATGCATATTTTGGCAATTCTTTGTATAAAAAATCTTTGTATAAGAAGACAATCTAAGTTTCAAGACGTATCTGATTCTAATTAAAACGAATTAAAGATGTGCAATTTCATTCAACTTGCATATATATAATATATATTGTGCATAATTTCTTTACTTATGGAATGATAATTTTTTACCTAGCCTCATTAAGTTATTATGCGCACTTGATACCATCCTTCTTTCATGTGTATACACTGTATATCTTAGATTGATTTGACGGACATTTACGATGATCTGGTTGTACACTCTCCTCCTCCCCCGCTAGAGGAAGTCACGTCACAGCTTGTCAGAGATAATTACTACACGGGAGCCAGTCATATCTTGTTATAAATTACACAGAGTGCTAAGTCTCTGATAAATTTGAAAACTAAAAGCAAATTGCTGTGCATTTTACTTTTGCATTTATGAAAATAACGATTGCCAAACAGATATAATACTATTAATCCAATGTTTGAATCACATATATATTAACCTTTTCCAAAATAAGATAAAGGAATTCACAAAATTAATATTTTCGATATAAATATTTCATTTTATTTATACATCACCAATTTTTCAATTTATGCTTCGTAACAATTTACTTAAGGAAACAACTGCAATATGAACACATTGTTTATCCTTATGCGTCGCTTCATTGCTTTATAGAAATAAAATTAAAAAAATTAAAAGATCTTTCAAATTGTAAAATTAAAACGTACACACAAGATCGTGATTTGCAACATTTCATACTGATATGAGTAAGATTCAAACAAATTAATTCTCAGAAAGCAGTGATAAAATTGTTTTAAATTTTTTCATGCAACATTGACTCGTCCTTGTGAAATGTTCGTAGTCTCGTCTTGCGCAGACGACTGTTTGTACTGCTGTCAAACGGCGAATTTTGTCTTTTACGACAACAACTGTTCCTCGACACTTCAGAAAATAAGAAATAGAAAATGGGATGAGATGCGTGATTTACAAAAAACAAAATTTGTGCAACATTTGAGAGGTAAAATGGATCATTTTCATCTATAAAGAAGTAGAAGCAGAAAGCAAGTACGACAATCAAACAGACGACTGTTGTAACACAAATGGCGACCATCATGGTGTGCATCATTCTCTCTTGGCGATGACGAACAGTCATGTACGTGTGCATTTTACGAATTTTCATCACATGTAAAGTCAAAAATGGAATTAGCGTGATAGCAAGAAAATAAAACACACAGGCAAATTCTATACTGATGGACGTCCTACTAGTCATGCCATTCCATAACATGCCCACACTCATGGCGGCTTTAAGTCCGTAGAATGCTCCTATAACGGCACTTATGGTCCAACAAATTATAGAAAATCCGACAACTCTCCTGGAAGTTACAACACTGTGGCTCTTCAGAGGGTAGGCCACAATGTAGTATCGCAGAGCTTTTAGCATCACTAGATGAAAGTACGAGGCATTTAAGGTCGCAAATGCAAATACCCCAGCAAAGGCGTCGTAGACCTTGGTGTTTTCATCTATACACATAAAGATGAGGGCGTAGAGATAATTCGCACGGAATTTTAAAAACCTGAAAACCACGGCGACACTGTCGGATATTGCCAAACACAAAATGGCGGTGTAGGTGGGCGAGTGTGACAACTTATTCATCCTGATTTGGACAATCGTCAATATATTCCCCGCTAGACTTATTAGGGCTAGTGTTACTCCAATAGAAGTGGCGGTGTCAAACGCCGCACGCCAATCGTCAGAAAATGGAATTTTCCTGCACGTATTATTTCCAGAATTCATCACGCTATTATTGGAGAAGCAATTTGCAATTTCTTCATACATCCCAGATTCATTTAAAGAAACTAATTTCTCCATTTTACCGAAGGTCTTCCCTCAACTAGACTACATATAAATCAACAGGTATTTATTGCCATTTCGTAGAAACACAGTAGTCTAGTTTTCTGCGGAAAATGTAGAATATGTTTCATGTAAAAATCAAAACCAATTATCCGGAACAAGGATAGAGACGATCTCTCCTTTGACAGAGAACACGCAATTATGTCGTATCCGGTTCCTGGTTTTACTTTCTCCTCGCGTGAAAATACAACACGTTGGTTGTAACTGAGCAAAAGCTTTAGGAATTCTAGTGGAACGTTCTTTAAAGGAAGGACTTAATTCATCTAAACCAATTTGTAAAACTTTACATTCAGTATTCCCGTGCTTAACACAATAACAATTTGTCTCTTCTATAACGTGAATGGTCAAACATCTTGCATTCGCATGTCATTTTCGTTGCCAACCAAATGTTGGTATTTCTGAGAACTCAAGAGGGCTTAGAATTTTTTTGATCTGCAACATGTATTTTTCTTCTACAAAATAAAACATTCAGATTAATAGTAAAAGTAGCTTTGTATTTCGAAATATTAGCCCCTGTTATAATATAATTAGGACCCTGTAATTGGCTAGCTCTTGTAATTATCATGATTATATCACTTCTTAAATCTACTTATATACATTCAAATGAATCAAACAATATGTCATTCTGCAATATATAAATCTATCGACAGAAACAAATAAAAGATGGCTGTGCAAGGTAAAATAAAAATGAACACACATAAAAAAGATTTGACTTAAAAAGAATTGATGATTTGAAAGCAAATATTACATTCCCTCGTTGGTACTCATATGCAATAGAAGGAAGGGGACATTAAATGTGTTTGAATTTTGGTCAATTTGGAATACGAAGTAGAGAAAGAAGCATTTTCTGAAGAGAAAATTTAAGAGTATTTTAATGGACCTCCTATGTTAAAAATAAAGTTCCCTGTGTAGACTGCCACGTCTAGTACATTGTTGGTTTAATATCTATAAGAATGAAATGCTAAAAAAGAATGTATGAATGACGTTATAAATAAATTACCCAGACCTTAAAGATTCCTCGCTTAGGACCAAACACTTGTTGATGACGTCATTCTGAGAGAAAGGTTTGAATTTTTTCTTGGTCAGTTCGGACAAAAGGAAGAAGAGAAGAGGATGCAGAGCGTGGTTCAGCGCCAGAAAAACCTGGGAAAGCTGACCCTGGACAAATAACTCTCGTCTGCTGAAGGCGTGGCGCGCGTCCTTGATGGATTTGTTTACCTGCAGCCCGGCGATGGGGACGATACACGCCACTGTACTTATTGAGATCACAGCCATCATTGTGTGCATGCGCACTTCATGTCTTTTGTTGACTACAAGTGATTTTCGAAGCTTTCGAATTTTCAAAATGTGAATCGTCAGTAACGGAATAATGGTAATTGAAAATAGATATATAACGAATGCGATTTCTATGACGTCAGATATGTGTTCCTCCGCGTGGCTTATGGTTAATACTTTGGCGCCATATCCAATACTTGCGACCAGCGAGAGAACCCAGCAGACGGCTGAATACTGCAGTACAGTTCTACAGCTTAGACCTATGTAAGTCTTAAAGGGGCGGGAAATCAGTCTATACCGTACCGCGGATATCATTGTAAGATGAAAATATGATGAATTCAGTGTCAGAAATGATAAAATTGAGAGCGAATCCTCAAAGACAGATAGTTCTAAGTCATTGCAAACATCAATCACAACGTAGATAGAATGAGAACGAAACTTAAGAAAGCGAAAAATGGCGGCGATTATGTCGCAGAACGCTAGGCACGCAATTCCGGTATACGTTGGGGAATGGAGTGCGGGGTTTTTCCTGATGAACACAATTGCTACAATATTTCCAACACAGCTTAAGACAACTAAAACGATCCCAATGAAAGTAAACAGTTGGTAAATATTCTGCCAACTTTCTGGCCACTGTCCATTATCACATACTGTGACATCCGATTCATTTCGTTTCACAAAGATATTTTCAAACTCGTTGCTGTAAAAGATTGTAGAGAATGAAAAATTTGTTTCCATTGCAAACTATTTTTCACGAATTGCCAGGAATTTGTTAGTATAACCATGCGTTCATTGTTATGGTCTCTCTCTAATAGTGACAGTCATGTAGTATGTAGCCCATGGTTAAGCATGCATGTTCTGTGTTGAAAATCTGATTACAAATGAACATTTATGACGGGAGTTATCATCTAATGATGGAGCACTTAAAATGACATCTACGTTGCTTAATTAAGCAACATCTGCCACAATCACTACTATTACTAATGTCAGTGATCTAGAAATGAAAGCCAATATTTTCCGAATTAAAAAAGTCTACACTACGACGTAGCAGGCCCTCTGTAGGAACTGACCATGTACCTTGTGGATCATCTACGTAGATACAGCGCTTGTTGTTTGCGATGTTTATCTACTGATTACTTGTTTGATTACTAAATAACAGACAACAGATGGGCCGTATGAGATAGTGATTTTTTATCGCGTAAAACGTTTATAATTGTGTAATTTTAAAAAAAAAACATCCAAAACAACAAATGATAGATGGTTAAGCTGGTTCAATCGTGTTTTTTTTTTTTTTCACATGCATTTGGATCTCTTATTCATACAAAATTCAGCATCATATTTTTAGTTCTTAAACTGAATATGGCTTCTTTTTAAATGAAATATATTTAATTTAAAACCTATGATAAATTCCATGCAAAACGCATTAAGATAGGAACTTCCTTTCTTGACTGAAGGTTTTCTATAAGATTTGCTGTACATGTATTTAGCTCTACCTCCCATTTGAGTCCTGTTTCTTTCATTTAGAGATGCCATTTAGATGAAGGACCTCAAATTCAGACCTACACCCGGCACCCATGACCATTAAAGAGAATCTTCGTTTTCCGAATAGAAAAAAAAATGCCAACATACTAACAGAAAAGTGACGATATTTTTGTGTTAGCTAGCCTGCTGGTCAGTGTTTTTACATGTACATGTACTCTGTTTGCAAATTAAAAGCTAACCATCATTTATATTTAAAAAATACATTTAGGGTAGATTAATTATTAAATTTAATTTTTTTTTTTTTTTTATATATACATTTATTTCCAATAACATACAACAAATTTTGAGGCAAAACTTCCTCAGAAGCCCTCGGTTAATACCTCACCTGGGGTGCAAGGAGCTCCCTGGATCGGTATATTTTTCAATATTCAATTTATAAAAAAAATTACACAATAGAGAAAAAAACATGGTTATTTATCATTACTAATATTTCATTTTCACAAAAAGACATATTTCATTGAAAATCATTTCATATTAAATTTAATTGATCTAAAATTACTTATAAACATCCCCTCGATCTATCTAATACTTTTTTCAAAGTTCAAAAGAACCTTCTTTGATGCACCTAATTACTAAACTATGCAATCTCTTAAAAAGAATAGAATCGTCTTTAAAAGTTAAATTTGAGAGGCTCAAAAATAAAAAAAAAAACCTATCTTTTGTATTGATACACATTAGTAAATAGGCACAGAGGCGTTATTATCTTTTTACCTCGGTTCCTTCATCCTGTTAACAATCCTACACCATAGTTAGTTGTCATATCCTTCAAATAATTTTAGAAAGATGTATTAATTTTGCCGCTGGTTCTTTTGCATATGAGTTTCTTTTATTGCGATGCTTTTACCTATTTCCAGGTTCCAAAAAGCTAATAAATTTTCTTCTGCAGTCATGAAAATTTCATAGTTCCCAATAATGAAGTGACTAAGAACCGTATAAAAATACACGACCTATTCATAATTGGCACTAGTATATTGGCACCTGATCCCACCTCTGATGTTTCCGAGGTCCGTGTTTGCTCCGCTCCTATTTTGTAAATGTTTGCTGGACTCGAGCTCAAATGCCGTTCACTATCTGCACATATTTCATTGCGAAATTTTTAAATACTACTAGTAAATCCAACGTATAATACATGTACTAAGATTTATTTGTTATTATCACGTATCTGTAATCCTAAAAATATGACCAAACCAGTGTTACACGGCCAAACATTCATCATTTGAATCTCATCGTCCCATTTAATAGAGTAGTTTAAAAAAAATTTATATGATTTATCTCGCAACTAAAGTACAACTGATGATTTATGATTTTCTAAGTTTAATTTAGAGAAGTAAAAAAGTGAAAGTTTTGGATTTTTCTTGATCGAATTTCATTATACATGTACATGTATTGCATGAGTGCAGATAATCTGACATATTCCTATGTTCTTTGAAATACAATAAGGGCGTTTTTCGGATTGCAATACAAACTATGATAGATTTTAAAGCCAAATCGTTTTAAGATTATATAATGTCGAATGAAAAAAACCCTATTTCTATTAAATCAACTCGTAAAAATCTGTATACACTTTATAGTACAGCTTACTGCAAAAAGGCAATAAGATTGACAAGTCGTTGTGTATTTTTGGAGAAGTGAAAGATTTTTTGGCCGTAAGCTTCGCAAACTATGATTTGATGATACATTGATGTCGATGTACATGACACAAATGGAACAAGAACACAAGATTTACGTTTCAGCTTCGGTAAAATATAACGAGAATACTGCACGTGAGACATTCTGAGTAAGGCTTATTGTGTATAAAACTGGCATCGGGTCTTTACAAGAGGACGAAAGATTTCTTCAAAATCCGCCATAAGATCTTGAAACATTGCATAAAAAAACAAACTGTGAGACACGACTTCTTCGTCTGGTTACTAATTCTACCTGTAAAATTTCAATCACTAACATTTGGAAGTATTTTAACTGAATGTTCAAATACAATATATAAATAAATGTTTGTGTCCAAAAAAAATTAAAAAGTAAATCACTGATATAGACTTTCTGATTAATTTTTAATTAATTAAAATTTAATTAATACGTTTTAATTAAATTAGATAACCCCTCACTGAAATACAGATAATGGGGTACGAAAAGCTACAGAGAGTTGACACTTTCAAAAACATTCATTTTCAATATATATTTTTTTCTAAATTCCTTCAATATCGTTTTACACGTCGGATAGTATGACGTAATACACGTGCACGTGATCTCTCTCTCTCTCTCTCTCTCTCGATCGACTAAGCACACAAACTTTTGACTTCAAATGAAAAACAGGTAAATAGAGTTTCTCAAGAATGTTCTGAATTAACACTTTCAAATCACATGTAGTCATATTTTTCTGGGTTTTTTTCAATCCCTAGCTGGATGTTGACAGCATTTCGTGTAATTTCTTTTCTTGTTTAGGACTTCGTTGATCCAGAAGTACAGTACTGGATTGACCACGTGTCTTAAGAAATAAATAAACTGTATGGCACTGAAGAAAATCACCTTTTGTTTTTGCGTAAATTTGTCCAATCCTAACATAGAGATAATGTTCCGCAACATCAGAGGAAACAGACTGATGACCGTAATTAGTGCCACCACTATAACCATTCTGTTCATTCTGACCACGTGATAGGTCAAGGTCGCGGGTATTACTTTCCTTTTGGCAATGTGAAACAACAGCAGTGGTATGAGGGTGACAAGGAACAAATAAAAACACATAATTATATCAATTACTTCAAAGTTATCCATAAACCAATTTGCTTTGCCTTCATATAAGCCCTCTAGATATTTCATGCAAGCAATTCCATACACTGAACTGACGATAAGGGTAAAAGTCCAGGCTACCCCAGAGAATCCTATCACTTTCCCGGAGGTTAGGCATCCTCTAGCTTTCAGTGGATGGACAATGATGACGTAACGTACGGCGGCCAGAAGAATCACATGACAAAATGATCCATGTAACGTCATAAAAGAAGGTATAGAGGAAATCGTCTGTACTGCTGTCACACGTGATTTATTGCCAGAACAGAGTTCCTCACCATACAACAGAGAACAAACAGCACACGCCTCGACTCGGGCCAGTCGGGTGACCAGGGCCAGCGAATCGGATACAGCCAGACACAAAATGGCGGTGTAAGTCGGGATCTTCACTTTTCCTGTGAGACAGATGGACGTGATGGCTAAAATGTTCACTATTAGTCCTATTCCTACAATAATGGCCGGCACATAGTGAATAACAAAACTATGTATACAGTTACCGAACACTGTGTCATTCGATAATGACTTGTTTTCAAAATTATCCATTTTTAATCAAGCAAATATTCTCTTAGATGAACCAATTGTTCACTGAAAACAAAATCCAACTTTACATCTGATAATAATACTAGTAATTCGTCTCTATTCCTCGACCTGAACGGTGTCCCTTTACAGCCAGCATCTCACTATCTACGGCAGATCTGAACTATCTCTGTCATGTAGTTACATAAACAGCCAACTGAAAGAGCAAAGGTACACGTTTTCTTATTCTCAGCCTAAAACGCCCCCCAGGAGAGGGAAGACACTGTCTCTCATCATTTTTATTGATTTACAAGAATTGCGAGAAAATAGTCACTTAGAAGTGTTTGCTTTAATTCTATTGGCTTGAGAGGCATAAAACTTATAAGCTTTGTCAGATTTTGTTTTAGTGATGCTTGAAGCTCTACAATTACGCAAATGAATAACATAGAAAATAGAAAATTAGAATTTTATATATCAAGAGGAAAATGGTAGAAAAAACGAACTATTTGAAAATATTTATTTTTTTCATTATTTTATTTTTTATAATGTTACTAAATATATCAAGAGGAAAAGGCTGTTTTAGATATCTCGACAAGGAAACATAAGAAACATTAGAAACTGTAAAAAAAAAAAAAGTTTTGGGGTTTCAAAAAGAAACGTTTGCAAACAGCTTTTTTCTTGTTCTATACAAATGTCTTTTTTGCTGAAGACATATAAAATATAAAGTAACAAAGTGCAATATTTAAAAAAGCAATTTTTTTTCTAGAAATACATCTACAGCTGTTACAATTCCTTATCATCATTATAAATCATCGTCAATCAATATCCAATCTATTTAATTGTTTTCGGGTTCAATGAACAGCCTTTCGGTTCAACTTAATAACTGTAGTCAGAAATCATTATATTTAGATTAATTCTTTTAAAAGTACTGTGGCTTTCAATTCGACAATCATAAATTCATAATTATATATACCGAATAATCATGTAAATTTTATTCATCGTTATTTTCGATATATCCTAGTGAATAAAGACCTAAAGTGGAGGGTTAGACATTTGATCATATATATAAGCCACAGAAGCGTTTCGTCATCTCACTTTTAGGTTCAATAAAATATTCTGAAAAAAAAGAATGGTTAATAAAAGAGTTATCGAGAGCGGAATTCTAACAGACTGCAGAAAAACATGGTCCCCAAAGACATGATATGTGTTGTCAATGAGAGGTATAACGTCACTTTTTTGATATGAACCTCAGAGTACTTGTGTGGAGATACATACTTATTTTCAACATAGCAATATTGAAAATGCCCAATCACCGTTCCACAAAAATGTAAGTAAGTAAATCGTTTCTTATAGTGAAATGTGTTATACAATACAATAGAAAACATTTAATACAATTAATATCCAAACACCCGGCCCATCGGACCTATATATGTCACTTTAAACAACAAAAATGAAAATATATACACAAACATTACAAAAGCTTTTCTTTACAAGGATGAAAAGAAGTAAATGTTGTAAATAATCGTTTTACTGCTATACAGATATTGGCTTAAATTAAAATATTTCTGCTGAAAGAAATCTTTAAAAATGCTATTGGTACAGAAAATAGAATCTGAACCATTTTTGGAAAAGAAAGTAAAACAGATTATCCAAAATTTATACAAACCATATAAAACTTGAGTCAAATCCGAATGTCAGTCATTTCATATCATGCAGGCATGTCCCTTAAATTGTATTTGACGGGAATTTGATATTAAAATATTGCTGGATTTATGATATGACTCATAGATAATTAAGAGCATTGTTTTCTCAATGTCGTGTAATTATGGACAGAGGATACCTTTCTAAATTATATATATGATTTTTTTCCCGAGATTTTTTTATGACAAGACCGGCAACTCACACGAAAGATAATAATACACAGATTAAAACAGCCTGGATTAAAGCCAGCATTTCGTAAATTATATCAATGGTCCTTGTAATGACCTTGTTATCAAAGATAATTTTCATATATTACTGAGTAGTATTTTGGCTGAGTTGTTTCAGACCAAATATTAAGCTTTCGATTTTATACTAAATTTGACCGCGGGTTATTCTGTCTACTCGATGCAAGACATAAGACTCACGACAGGAAACAAGGATATTATCAGCTAAAACAATCCGTCTTTTTCTTAAACTTCAATATGCCAATAAAGGAATTGGTGCGGTTAATATAAGTAATATTCTTTATCACAAAAGGGTCCAGTCTTGTATTCCACCATATTTCAAGTTAAAGACTACACCTTGTATTTCCTACAAAATAATACACATCTACCATTGCTTCCAAACTTTTCAATTACAAAAAACTTTACATGGCCCGGATACAGAGCATCTGAAACATAATCTTCCTTCGTGTTCATGTTCTTCTTCACCCTATAACTACAGTCCTGCTGGACACATTATTACAGGTGACGTAAATATAGTTAATAATGAGGACCTTAGATCACTTATTTTAAAAGGTCCTAAATATAGGGAACCCCGATCCTTCAACTGGCGTCAGAATTTCATTAATATTATGAATTCTGCTGAAAATTACCCCAGACGATGAAAAAGATATGAAAAAGAAGACGTTGACACCTTGTCAGAATGGATTAAATGTATCAGATCCATGTTAAAGCCACGTATTAAAAGACTGAGGGGCAATATGAAAACCATCTATTCTTCTTTGTTCAATAAACCAGAAGTGAAAAAAGAATTAGATAGGTTACATGATCATTACCTACTGGTCCCTGCCGACAAAGCAGGTAACAACATTGTCTTCGTTTGTAAGGCTCATTATATAAATTGTATTCTAGAAGAACTTGGATTTAATTCTACAAGTGGTAATCCTATTTATACTCGTACTTCCCTTTCTAAGGAAGAAATTCTTCAAAATCATATGTCAGTTTTGAATATTTTTAATATTCCACAGAGCCAAAATAAATTTGAACTACCACCTAATATATTGGATTCCGAAGCTTCATAAGAATCCTTACAAACAAAGATACATTGCGGGCTCCAGTAAATGTTCAACCGAGCCTCTTTCGTTACTCCTCACTAAGATATTGACAGTAGTGAAGGAAAAACTTTTCAAGAGTACTGTGCAACTATATATTCAAGAAGTGGTGTGAATCAGATGCGCATATTAAAAAATTCAAAAGAACTTTTAGACAATTTGAAATCACAAGATTTTACCAAATTCAACAGCTTAAAAACTTAAGACTTTTCAACTTTATACACAACCATTCCCCACGACAAATTAAAATCCAGGCTTATTTTATATTATTGACAGCTGCTTTTTCAACAAAAAATGGAAATGGTAAATTTACTTACCTGGTCATTGGTCATTTGCAAAATTATTTTGTTAAAAAGATTCTGATTGCACACACAAGTACTCTAAAGTTGACATCAAGAAGATGCTTGAGTTTCTGATTGACAATATCTATGTGGTATTTGGAGACCAGGTATTCCAACAATCTATTGGAATTCCAATTGGAACCAATTGCGCTCCGTTATTAGCAGACCTATTTTTGTATTCATATGAAGCAGAATTTATGCAAAATCTTATGCGTAAAAAGAAGAAAATACTTGCTTTGGCCTTTAACTCGACCTTCAGATATATCGACGACGTATTGTCAATTAACAATGGCAATTTCCATTCCTACGTCGATACGATATATCCAGGGGAGCTTAAGATAAAAGAAACCACAGAGTCTGACACATCTGTTCCATACTTGGATATTTTACTTGAAAAAGACGTTAATGGTAACCTAACAACCAAGTTATATGATAATGACGAGTTGAGCTTTTCTATCGTCAACTTCCCTTATATACCTCAGTTGATTCGATGCGCAAGAGCATGCTCTACGTATGAACAATTTCTAAAACGAGGTAAATTACTGACAAACAAGTCGATGAAACAAGAATATCAGCAGTCTCGTTTTAAGTCATCATTTCGTAAGTTCTATGGTCGATACAATGACCTTGTCAGCAAATACAATTTATCATTGAGTCAAATGCTGACTGACGTATTTCATACCAGTTGTTAGTCCATTATTTATACACTGAATTGACGACAGATTTTTCCGTTATTTCACGATCATGACAATGAGCACACGGCGGGTGTGACCGGTCAGCAAGGGATGCTCACTCCTCCATGGCACCTGATCCCACCTCCTCTGATGTTTCGTGTTTGCTCTGCTCCTATTTTGTATTGTTTTATGGACTTTGATATTGAATACTGTTCGTTATCTCCATATCCTTCTTCAATCAAAATAGTCATTTTGCGAGTTCTATTGTCTCTAAAACGACCTTATCAGCAAGTAAAATCTATAACTTAGTCGAATGCTGACTGACGGTTTTCAAATCAGTTGTTAGAACATTTCATTGCTTTACACACTGAATTGACGACGGATCTTTTCCTAATTAAGACAAGGATAAACGGCGAGTCTCAATCCTCCATGACACCTGGCCCCACTTCTGATGTTTAAAAGTCCATTATTGCCTCTTATTTGTATTTTTCGTATTTACCTTTTATCCTGAATGTAATCTTCGTTATTTTCATATTTTATAAAACTTGAAAACGAACATGATACAAAGCAAAGGGATTATTCTTTTTCTTCCTTACGAAATAAGAGATATCAAAAGTCTATTAAAACAAGACAAATTTGGAGCAGAGCGAACGTTACCTATAAAACATCGAAGGTGAAATCAGGCGTCATAGAAGAGTAAATTCCGCGGTGGATCAGGTCTATTAATAAAAGAGCACATATTTAGTGTTATCCAAAGTCCAACTAGAGAATCCATACTTTTTATTTTATTTTGAAATTACGAAAAGTACAGTCATACGATACGATATTGCAGTACTCTTAAAGACTCTAAAAGACAACTAAAACTTAAAACATATACTAGTGAAAAAGATTAATTCATCAAAATTGAAGAATCACAAACTTTATTATATAATTTTCTATGTCTAGATATTATCAAATCCTCTATACAGAGTTGTCGTT